TTTTACGACTCCCCTCCAAAGTGCCGGCATTGTACAAGCGTTTGAACTTGCCCTGTCCATTTCAAAGTAATCATCTCAGAGTCTCTTTGAGAGGAAAAAAATTTCAATCTATGGAATTTAGCTTGTATTCATTTGTCTATCTGGGTGGCATTAAAGCACTAGCGATTTGGTATGGAAAAAGGCGTCGTATCCCTCGTTTAGCCCGCATTCTTTCCTTTTTGAAGAGCGGCTTCCGGAATTTTTTTAAACCTCTACAGGCATTTCCCTTTCTTAAGTTTAGATGGCACTTTTTTTTCCTTCGTCATGGCTATCCAAACTCCACCTTCCCCTTTACTGCACCACCTGATTTCTCTTCTAAGCATTTGACGATGGATTTTGGCGTCCTTACGAGTGCCCCTGTCAAAGTGACATGCAGAATCGCATTCGTCTTGTCAAAATTGTCAGATTGTCATAGAGTGGGCGCAAAAGGTACATTATTTGATGAAGCGTATCAATCGTACCTGTGCTATCTGGACATGTATTTTGCAAAAAAAAAAAACATTTACTTACTTGTAATTATGATAACACAAGACAGTGATATTTATGAGTTTGAGAAGATGTCATGACGTGTCGTTAAGAGTGAGTGAGGGAGGTGAATGAGGGACAAGTTAGTAGTCCTCCTGCTCCTCAGTCTCAGAGGTCAAATGGCGAAGCAGAAGTCAAGTGTCATGACCTCGGCTGTGCCTCCTTTCCTTCCTTCCTCCCTCTCCATTCTCACCAAGGCTCGAGACGTGAGTTTTGAGTGTGTGTGTTTCGCTTGACCCTCGAATTTGCAGGAATATGAGACAATTAGAGCTTCCCTTACTACCTATAATTGTGGCATTTGAGTCATTTTGGAGAGTCTAAAGCAAAAAGCAAACAAATTAGGAAATCATTGGCATAAATAGTTTTAGGAAGCCACTATTACCACCCTCCCGAGGGTCCATTGGCGTTGGATCCACAAAGAGGCGACACCAAAGCAGCTGTTTTTGGAGTAAACAACTCAAAGCGCCACATCGAAATGTCACTGTCATCTCTTTCTCGCCCCTTTCTTTTTCTTTCTAGTTCAAACCAGAGGGCCATACTCATGATAGTGGAAAAATCACTCCAGGCTACGCATTGTTTATCGGTGTAGCTGGTGTTCTCATCCTCCTCTTGTCCACGGTCCTTCTCACCGTTGATAAACGCGTGGATGAAATTGTCTACCGTGAGAAGATTACCCAATGATGTGAGCACAGAGGTGTGCTTAACTCCCTCTCCTCATCCCATTGCCGCCTGTTAAATGTTTTGTTTCTCCCATTATAAATTGGCTACTAAATGCTCTCGTTTGTAAACAATTTGCTTCTTATGCGGTGCTGTCACCTTGTCTCAACCGCTGGTTTTATTCAAACGTAACACCCTAAAATGAGTGCCACTTGACAACTTTGATCTTGTGTAGGTGTCTCACCCTCTAGACAAGCTATAAAAAATTTTACTTTCTGTAATACAAAAGATC